TATCAAGTTTCATGGAAAGATATTTTCCAATAAACCATCTAAACTCGCTGTACCGACCTTTTTATAACCAACAGTAACTTTATCTAATGAGCTGGCCAGGTGCTGGCTTTCCTTCGGAAAGAGAGCCCCTGGAGATCCAGACATCACCAGAAAAATCGGTCGGTTATTTGTTTTAAAAGTCGGTATATAGGGTCGGATACAGAGTCAACCGACGATTTCAAAGTTGTGACTTAAAGAAAAAATAGAACAATAGTGAATTTTTTACTTTACTTTTTTACTTTTATTTAACCACACCATACTATACCGTACTGCACAACCAAAGGGCATATAATGAAACTTCATTTGATTTATATTAAATTTTTCTTCTTTATTCTTCAACTGATTCTCCTAAGAAAAAAAAAAATTTTGCTCGAAAATTAAATCAATTATCTTCTATACGCGAGCCAAGTATCTTATCTACTATACTACGAGTTATCCTAGTAAAGGAGAAACTATAACTTTCTCTTTTACTGTGATTCAAAACTTATTTTCTATTTTAATATTTATTTACTGATAGTCATTATCATGGTTTAATCATTACAAGTTTTATTTATTTATTATTCATTTAATTTAATATTTTATTTATACATGATTATTTAATTATACATTATTCATGTAATTAAAAAATTTTCAAACTTAGCAAATCTTTTTTATTTAGGAATAGTTATCTTACATCTGCATAAGTTATTATCCAAGCACGTAAGAAATGATTTATAAAATAGCTAATAGAAATAAACACTTTTGGTTTTTAATAATTTGGGTGAAAAATGAGTTGTATTTTCGTTATAGCCTTTTAGATGTATATTGTGTGTATTACATACGCAACTAAGAATGAGTCTGTAATCGTATGTGACAGATGCAAGCCTAATGTGACAGATGTAATTAGCATAGGCGTAAAAAAGTTAATTTAAATTAATCAGACGATTCAATAAAAGCGTAATGTCGTGTACTGGCTAGTCTAGCAGCACGTCGTGCCATGGCGTTATGTTTAACTTTTTGTACCTAAATAATAATTTGTTATGAATTGCTTGATTATGAACTACTTGATTTCAAAACATTTATTGAAGTCATATCTAATTACCAAGTATCCTTATTTGAACCATAATTGCTGCACCTTCGATAGATCATAAGAGTGATTTAATGTATGGTTTCAAGGTATATTTCTATTCATATATTGTCAATCATAGAAGTATGAATTTATAGTTGGGTATTTAAGCACACACTGATCCCTAATTTTTTTTTGGCAGTGCTGAAACCGTAAGTGAGCAGTCTACAACAAGCAATCCCTGTTACAGATTAACCTCTTTCTTCTTGTTCTTGTGTGGATCATAACTTACCTCTAATTTTGATATTTATTTTCTGTTTATTAATTAATTAGTCGATTATACATTACATCAATTAATAAATTATTCATTTGATTAACAATTTATTTTTATATGATAAAATAGTTCTTCCCAAAACTTAGAAATAAATGTTTCGTATGTTACCTGATCGTTCGACGTATAAGTGTTATAAATCAATTAAGTATAAACAATTGACGGTGACACCAAATTCAATGTTTTACTATTTTAATTTCAATACTAAAAGTCTTCAAACAATAGAAAACCTTGATGTTGAACAATATTCGTAAAGGATTACTACTTTATGAACTAAACCTAACAATTACTACATTAATGATGTTACTTAGAAATTTAAGTATATCCAATGGACTGTGTGATGAAACACATTTAAGAATCACAAAATTATTAAAGTATAATATAGAAAGAGAAATAATAAGTCGAACAAAAATTAAAAATAGAGTCTTCGTATCGTAAGCAGCTTTCAATCGTTGTGGCATTTATTACAACAATAATCAAATCTCAAGGTCAAATTTTCAGTAATGCAGGTTTATGTTTAGAAAAACCTTAATTTTCTCATGGTCATACGTGGCTTTAGCAAAATCCAAAAATAAAAATAGTTTATTTATTTAGGTAGAAAGGGAGAAAAATATAGAGTTAGAAAATATTGTTTAAAGCAATCTTTACATACTTAACAAAATTGTTAATTCTAAGAAATAAATCGAGGAAATTAATGGTAGTGAATTAAATTATATTATTTTTATTATCACTTTATCATTTATCAATAATACGACACATAATGATATTTTTTTCATATGCTGATACTTCTTGGTTGAACAAATTTGATCTTAAATTTTTCAGAATAAGATATCTACAATTTTTCTTATTCTGTCCCTTAGTGGTTATGATATAGCTTGATTGAACGTGTTATTTACTCAACTTTTTCAAATTAGGCGATACTTCTACGGTTAATATTATTCAAGAATTGTGTAACGTTTTTATTTGTATATGTAATTCTGTCACATCATTTAAATACATGTGATTAAAGAATAAATATTACATTGTTTTTACTACTAGCAACACAAATATAGTAACAAAAAAAAGTTAAGTGCACCAAGAACCTAATACTTATAAATAAATTAAAACAACTTTAAAAGCCGTCTTTGCAACAT